TGGAGGGACTTGGCCGGGGTCTGGGCTCCAGCCCCCCGCCCCCTCCCTCGGGACCCGGGCTTCCCGGCGGTGCAGACCCCGGCAGGCAGCCTCCCCGGGCCCCCTCGGGGCTCGGGCAGCATGGCCTCAGGTGAGCGTGCGCGTCTGTGCTGGGGGGAGGGTCTCTGGGACGGAGTCGTGCGGTGGCCTGGGCGACCAGAGGGTGCGGGGTCTCAGCGCAGCCGGCAGACCTGGGGAAGGCGGCCGCCTGCCCCTGGGGAGGGCCCGGGAGCGCTGATCCTGAGTTTGGAGCCGGAGGGAAGAGTCGGAAGACACCGGGTCCCTCTTCCCCAGACCCCAGAGGAGCCCCTGCCTCCTGGCCTCCCTGCCTCCCCGCCTTCCTAGAAGGCGGCTTCTGCCGGGCAGCGGAATTTTCCCAGGACAGGCCCCTCCCTCCCGGGCCGAGGTTCTCGGTTCTACCCCATCCCCCCGGAGCTGGGCGACCCTGGAGCTGGGGTTCAGAGAGAGAAGAAACAAACAGGGACTCTGCCCCGGAGGGGCTGGGTGCTCAGGGACTGCGCCCGCGCCGAGCCCGGTGTGCCCCGCGCTCGGGCGGGATCCTGTGGGGTGGTGGTGTTTCCTCCCGGGCTGGCTGGACCGGCTAAGCCTGGACTTTGAGTCCTCGCTCCCGAGGGGGCTCGTGGAGCGCCGGCCCGTCCCCGGCTGGCTCGCACCCCCGCACCCCGGCCTACTCACTCCTGGGATGAGAAGGGGAGGCGCGGCGAGCGCGCTCGGGCGGGATGGCGCCCCCCTCCCGGAGGTTGCCTAGACAACCTCAGAAATCGTGGCCGGCGCCTCTTCCGCCGGCGGGGCCTGGGCTTCCTGCACCAGTCACTCCCGCGGCGGGGCGGGGCGGAGGAAGGGGTTGGATGTGGCAGAGGCAGGCCCAGCTGCTGCGGCGCCGACTCCCCCGCCATCGCCGCGGCCGGAGCCATGGCATCCTATCCATCGGGCCCAGGCAAAACCAAGGCCAAATATCCCTTTAAGAAGCGTGCCTGCCAGCAGGCCTCCTCCGCGGTACCAGGTGAGTGTGTGCATCCTGGCCGGGGCACTGGCTCTGCTCCACCACTTCTCGCCCTGGCCACTGGACCCCTCAGAGGGAGGCCCCTTCTGCACCCCCTCTGCGGTGATGCTCCTTTGTCCTTGTACCCAGTGACAGCTGGCATGGGAGGTGGTGTGGGCAGAGAGGTGGGGTGGAGGGTGACAGTTTTCTGTGCCAGGGACGCTGCCCTCTGTAACGGGCAGTGGATGTGGGTGTGGGTGCAGCAAGAGGTGTATTTGCACACGTGTCAGCATGCGGATGTCTTAAGACTATTTGTTTAGGGAGTGTATGAATGGAGTGGGGGTGTGTGGGAGTGACTGGGAGCCACTGGCCACCCTGCTGGCGGCTGGGTCTTTGCCAGGCAGACTCAGGCTGTCTTCCTGAGGCTAGTTTCTCTTTCTAGGACCCCAGATCTCAGACCTCCTCACTGGGGGAGTCTGATGTTGGGGCACACTCATTGCTGCTGGAGTCCCAGGGCTGGGGCTCAACTGCATGGATTGTTTACTGTGTGCTCATTTCTGGTCTGTCTTGTGAGCTTCCTCAGAAGTATGGGGTGTCCTTGGGCCGGCCCGTGCGGCGCTCAGGCTGGGCCTGTTGCCATCTCTGTGCTCCCGCACCCTTTGGTTCTGCCCCCACTCTGGTAGGCATCTCTGCACCATTTGGAGCAGGCAGTGTGGTGCCGCTGTGCCCAGCTCCAAAGGGATCTGTTGCCTGGGTTTGTGCTTCCTGAGAGATCACCCTGCCATTTGCTGTCCCTAGGCCTTGCAACTAAGGAAATATACCCCTACTTTGGTGACCAGGTCAAGCCAGCCTCTCCCCCTCCCCCTCAGCAGCTGTCTGTATCTGTAGCCTGGTCATCCACCTTCAGTGTTTTCTTAGGACAGTGAGGATGCTGACTTGAGGGTCTGTGTTCCCTGTGCTCAAGTCTGTGCAATCCAGAAGGTGTGTCCCCTGGGGCTAGTTCTGTGTACCTTGGGGTAGTCACATTGGGGGAGCATCTGCTACTTGTGGGTCAAAGCCTTGGGTACATCTCTGCCTACGGAGGCAGTCATTGCAGTAAGGGAGGGGCTCCTGGTTAAGAGGATAGAAAGGATGCCAAGAATCTTGGAGTTGGTGGGAGTGGCTGGCCTTTGGTTGTCCCCACCCCCGTGAGAGCATGTGTGCTGTGTGGTATGGTGGCTCAGACCCTGGGAGAAGGGACCAGCAGGCAGCTGGGTCCTCCAGGCCTGGCCTAGGGATTGCGGAGGTTACTGCCTATCTGTTACCTCCAGTGGACTCCGCCACCCTGTGCAATGGCCTGGCAGGCTGGGGGTACTGCTGGAACCTGTCTGGTCACCCAGCATTTCTGTGGAAATCCTGGGCCACCGTGCTAGGAGAGAAGGTTGAGATTGGGGCCTTTGACTCAGCTCCTGCTGACCACTAACAGACCACCCCTGGAGGCCTGTGGTTGGCCTCCCCTGGAGGGGTTTAGAAGTGGGGAGTTGTGTAGGGGCAGCGTTCTTGGCAAGCAAGGACCTTAGGCTCTGTCTTACATCCTGGGGGTGGAGCAGGTGCCTGTCTTTCCTCCTCCTCTTGCTCTGCCCTTTTCCAAGTTAGAGATAGTGTCACCCGCATCCCCACCCCTGCCAAGTTCTGTTCCCTTGATGTCGTTCACGGTTCAGTTGCCTTGGCCTGCGCTGGGCCCAAGAACTCCCACCCTCCCCTGCGTGTGGGACATGTTTGGAGGGTCCCAGGAGTTCATAATTGCAGATTATCGTGTTTTACAGAATACTTGCACAGCCGTATCTGTGAGCCTTATGGCAGCTGTGGCTAGACAGGATATGACCCGCCCATCGCCCCATTATAGACAGGACTTGAAGCCTCAGGAAGTACGCGGGAACAGAGTTAGACTCAAGTCCTCCAAATCCTAGTCACTCTTCTCCCAAACCTCTCTCTCCTGCCTGGAAATTTGTCCCCAGTGATAGGCTTGGAACTGGGGATTGGAGGTCTGGGGAGCCATGAACCAGCCCCCTGGGCATCAGGGAGGCTCAGTGACTGTTCCTACCGGACTGAGCTACTTCCCTGGCTGCCAGTCAGCTCCTTTCCCAGGCAGAGGCCCTGTCTCTCCTGAGGGACCCCGTAGGCTGGGCCCCAAAGGACAGTGGTTAGGAAAGCAAGGCCGCCGGGCAGAGGAGGCTGGCCCGGGGCTGCTGGGTGTGGAGAGGAGGGCTGCTCGTCCCCTTTTTTTGCCCCCCCTTCCTTTGGGCATCCAGGTCCCACCCACTCACTATACCCCAGGGCAGTGCATTTTAAGGAGGCTTGGCCCCTCCCTGCCAGCCTTTCTTGCCCATATCAGCCCACCCTGCTCCTCCCCCTTGGGGGCCCCACTTGGGCTGCACCCTGGCACTGTAGAGGTTAAGGCCCTGGTCATTTCTAGGATTCCTGTTATCCCCAAACTTGGATGCTCCTTCCCTGGACTCCTGGGCTACCCTGAGCTCCCCAGCCCCCTGCTCACCGGCATCCCAGGGTCTCCCCTGCATGCAGCTGCACTTGGTACAGCCCGTGCCGGCCCCTGAGCTGTCCTGGGGGACTGGCTGCAGCTCCACTCAGCAAACAGGCTGGCAGGGGCACAGGCCTGCTGGCCACTCAGCAGTCAGGCCGGCAAGGGACACAAGGCTGCTGCCTGTGCTGCCCGAACTCTGCAGGTAGGACCCAGCCAGGCATGAGGACGAGTGGGTGCTGGGTCCTGGATCAGGGGCAGGCACCTCCTCTTCCCTTAGCCCAGCCTTGGGACTCTGGGGCATTGGGGAGTCGGCCTGGAGACTTTGAGGCTCTCTACCTGGGCAGAGCCTCCAGTCTGTCCCTCAGCCTCGGTGTAGAGGAGGAAGGGGTGCTGGAGAGGAGGACCCCCCCCAGAGCTGTCTGGGAGAGCCCAGTGGGTGTGGGGAGCTTCCTGCTGGGGAGGGTGGGGCTGGGGAGCCCAGGGAGTGTCCTTTGGGTGGGCTGGGAGCTCAGGCAGCCCCTCTAGACTAACAGCTCCAAGACCTTTCTTGCCAGCCTCCTAGTGGTGCAGCTGAGTTCTGCCCTCTGTGGGGAGACCCTGGTCTCTGACATTCCTTTTCCCTGGCCCTTCTCGGGGCCTCCGGCCCAGATCCCGGGGCCTCTGAGTGGCGCAGACTCTTTGTGGCAGCTCCCTTTAGAGGGGCAGCCAGCAATGGGAGGGGCAGGCTGGGGCCAGGCCACATCTTGGCAGCCCTGGGGTCCTCGGGGAGAGGCCAGGCCTCCAGGGAGGCGGTAGGGTTCCCGCTGCCAACCACCTCCTCCACAGCCTCACCTCTTCCCTTGAGGTCTGGTCCCCAGGTCAGAGCTGGGTGGCAGCTGTGGCTTCTGTGCTCTGTGAGTCTAGGACGTTGGGTGTGGGCCTGGCCCTCCGAGAAGAGGAAGTGCTGATCCAGAGGCGTGTCTGACCCTGGACCACTGGCCTGGAAGCTTCCAGCTAGGGATCGCTGGCTTTGGCCACCAGGTCCTTGCTGAGCTCTGGGGCAGGCGTGGGCGGGCGTGCGTGCGTGCGTGCGTGTGTGTGTGTGTGTGTGTGGACACACTTGTGCCTGCCTGGAGGAGGTACTCANTGCGTGCGTGCGTGCGTGCGTGTGTGTGTGTGTGTGGACACACTTGTGCCTGCCTGGAGGAGGTACTCACGTAGAGGTTCTCATGGCCTGAGGGAGGTGCCCCTAGTCCAGGATTCAGATTCTGATTCCTGGAGTGAACGAATCGCCTGTTCTGGCGGCAGACTTGGGACTCCTACCCCCAAGCCTAGCATGGGTGAAGGGTCCCCGTGCTATACTGTGAAGGTGAGGTCCTTAGGGAGCCGCACGCCAGCTCACTCACTCCTCAGCCTCTGAGAAGGGCTTGCCCACTTCCCAGGGCTGGCCTGGGGCAGGCAGGGGCTCAGGGCTTCCCGTGTACCCCTTCCGGTCCTGCCTTCCACCTTTTGACCCTGGTGTCACTGTCTCCACAGAGGCTCGGGGTGGGCTGGGGGCCCCTCCGCTGCAGTCCGCCCGATCCCTGCCAGGCCCCGCCCCCTGCCTCAAGCATTTCCCGCTCGACCTGCGCACGTCTATGGATGGCAAATGCAAGGAGATAGCCGAGGTATCCCCTGGCACCTTATCCTGTGTCTCCAGCGCTGTTCCCATGCCGTCTCTGCTCCCCATCCCCTGACTTTACGCTTGGCTGTGCCCTGACCCCTAGCCTCTCCCTGGTTCCCCAGCTCCTGCCACCCTCACCTCCCCAGACTCTGCAAGGGAGGGCCCAGGGCTGAGGGCTAGGCCACACTGATCCTTCCTCCCTGCCACCAGGAGCTGTTCAGCCGCTCCCTGGCTGAGAGTGAGCTCCGTAGTGCCCCATACGAGTTCCCCGAGGAGAGCCCCATTGAACAGCTGGAGGAGCGGAGGCAGCGCCTGGAGCGGCAGATCAGCCAGGATGTCAAGTGAGCCCCAGGCCCAGAGCCCTGCAGGCAGGCAGCCTCGGGTGGGGAGGCACAGCCAGGCAGCTCTGGGTATAGGACAGAGCCATGCTGCCATGGGCTTATGTGGTGGGGAGGGCCACAGGGTAGTCTGCCTGCCCAGCATCCTTCTGTCTCCATTGGATGCGTTAAGAGCCCCATCTCTGTTCCTCTCCCACCCCATCCCTGTTTGGGGCCCACGCGGAGGCAGTCTAGGGCAGTGGGGTGGGGCACAGGCCTGGGTGCCAGGCTGCTGCTGGGTGATGGGGCGGCCTGGAACAGGGTGCCTAATGTCTGGGTATGCCTTCTCATCTCTGACTCGGGGCCAGAACAGTGCCCACAGCATGGGCTCTACAGCCCCATGGGGACCATGGTGACAACATACACCAGCACCTAGCTTGGACAGGGACCTGGGAGCACGGGCCGCCCCTTGTCATCTGCTGACCTCTCACCCTTCACCTCCAGGCTGGAGCCAGACATCCTGCTTCGGGCCAAGCAAGACCTCCTGAAGACAGACAGTGACTCAGACCTCCAGTGAGAAGGGCAGAGGGGAGCGGGGACACTGGGAACACTCTGCTGGGGCCTGTCCCACTGCTGGCTTCAACCCCTTCCTTGCATCTCCCTCTCGGTAGGCTCTACAAGGAACAGGCTGAGGGGCAGGGAGACTGGGGCCTGCGGGAGCGCGATGTGGTGCTTGAGCGGGAATTCCAGCGCGTCTCCATCTCCGGGGAGGAGAAGTGTGGGGTGAGTGAGTGGGCAGGGCCGTGGGTCCCAGCAGGCTCCCTCAGTTTGGGAAGCTGGGGGTAAGGCTAGAGAGGGCATTTCTCTCTCTGGAAGCTGCAGGGGCAGAGGGTCCAGCCAGGATCTAGTTGACATGCTGGGAAGAGACAGGGCCGAGCGTTTCTGAGGTCAAGGCCTCAGGGAACAGGTGAGAATGATCCTGGCCTGGGTCTGAGACCAAGGACAGTTATCACACATCCTTGTCTGCAGGTGCCATTCACAGACCTGCTGGACGCTGCCAAGAGTGTGGTGCGGGCCCTCTTCATCCGAGAGAAGTACATGGCTCTGTCCCTGCAGAGCTTCTGCCCCACCACCCGCCGGTACCTGCAGCAGCTTGCCGAGAAGCCTCTGGAGACTCGGACCTACGAGCAGGGCCCTGACACCCCTGTGTCTGCCGGTGGGACCCCCAACCCTGCCTAGCTCCACGTGCTCAGTGCCCCGGGCTCCCTGAGCTCAGAGCCTGGGAACCTCTGCCTTGGCTGCTTCTCCCCTCACCCAGGCTCATGCCAGCCTCCTGGCTTGGGGGTGGAGGCAGGAACGGGATCTAGCCATCCTGCTGGGGCCTTGCTGGCTCTGCCCCTCTGCAGGGCCTGTGGGTGGGGTGGTGCGTGGTGGCCCTGAAGAGCCCTGGCCCTGACTCCATTCTCCCCACCCCGCAGATGCCCCGGTGCATCCCCCGGCGCTGGAGCAGCACCCATATGAGCACTGTGAGCCTAGCACCATGCCTGGGGACCTGGGCTTGGGTCTGCGCATGGTGCGGGGCGTAGTGCACGTCTACACCCGCAGGGAGCTCGATGAGCAGTAAGAGGGGGTGGAGTGTGCTGGGGGGAAGCTGTGGGGAAGCTGCATTGACTGGGGGACTGCAGGGCTGACCTGCTCTCCTCACCCAAGCTCCCCCCATGTACCAGTTGCCCAGAGGTGGAGCTGCCGTATCCCGACCTGCAGGAGTTTGTGGCTGACGTCAATGTGCTGATGGCCCTGATTATCAACGGCCCCATGTGAGTCCCTGCCAGTCCCCTCCCAGCCTGGACTCTCCTGCCCCAGAGACCTGCTAATTGTCTCTCCCCACTTCAAAGTCACTTGAGTCTTAGACTTGTCTGCTGTCCGGCGCCCCCATGGCAGCCTCAGCCCTGTGCCCTCCCGGGTGCCTCCCCACAGGCTCTGAGCCCCCTGCCTGGTTCTCGTCCTGCCAGAAAGTCGTTCTGCTACCGCCGGCTGCAGTACCTGAGCTCCAAGTTCCAGATGCACGTGCTGCTCAACGAGATGAAGGAGCTGGCCGCCCAGAAGAAGGTGCCGCACCGGGATTTCTACAACATCCGAAAGGTGGGTCGTCCCCTGGGGCCGGGCCTGCGCCTCTGCCATCTTCCCCACTGCCCAGCACCAGGCAGGAGAGGCCTCCATCCTCCCAGCCTTGCTGGACCCAGCAGCCCCTGTTCCACCGCAGGTGGACACGCACATCCACGCCTCGTCCTGCATGAACCAGAAGCACCTGCTGCGCTTCATCAAGCGGGCGATGAAGCGGCACCTGGAGGAGATCGTGCACGTGGAGCAGGGCCGCGAGCAGACGCTGCGCGAGGTCTTCCAGAGCATGAACCTCACCGCCTACGACCTGAGCGTGGACACGCTGGACATGCACGCGGTCTGTCCCAGCGGCGGGGGCTGAGGGGCCGGGGCCGCACGCAGGCTGGGGTCAGGGGTGACCTGCCCGTCTCCCCCAGGACAGGAACACCTTCCATCGCTTCGACAAGTTCAATGCCAAATACAACCCTATCGGGGAGTCTGTCCTCCGGGAGATCTTCATCAAGACGGACAACAGAGTTTCTGGGAAGTACTTTGCTCACATCATCAAGGTGAGGAGGTGTGGCTGCCAGGGCCCAGTGTGGGGCAGCGCTCCCCCTGCCTGAGCGAGAGCCTGGGTATCTGGGGGCTTCTACGCTGGGGGAGGAGGGCGGGTCGGAGGCATGAGGCGGCCTGGCCGAGCACACCTGGTAGTGGATGCAAGGACAGGGAAGCCTGAGTGTGACAGCTGCCCCACACGTGTCTCTAGGAGGTGATGTCGGACCTGGAGGAGAGCAAGTACCAGAACGCGGAGCTGCGGCTCTCTATCTACGGGCGCTCGAGGGACGAGTGGGACAAGCTGGCACGCTGGGCTGTCATGCACCGCGTACACTCCCCGAATGTACGCTGGCTCGTGCAGGTGCCCCGTCTCTTGTGAGTGTCCTTAGGGGTGGGAGGGAATAGAGGGGGCAGAGTTCAAGGGGCCAGGGCCTGCCTCCTGCCCTCCTGGGATGGCTGACCGTCTCCTGTCCCAGCTGAGTCCTCTTGGTAGAAGAAGGGCCTTTCCTGCTTCCACTCACGGTCTGGCCCACCCGGCCCACCCAGTGTGGTTCACAAGTGCTCTGTGATCTCGTGCCAAGCTCTGGCCCTTCCTGGCCCGCTGGTGCCTTCACACCGGCCTGACCCGCACGCCCCTGTGTGCCCACGTCTCACCTGCAGTGATGTGTACCGTACCAAGGGCCAGCTGGCCAACTTTCAGGAGATGCTGGAGAACATCTTCCTGCCGCTGTTCGAGGCCACTGTGCACCCCGCCAGCCACCCAGAGCTGCACCTCTTCCTGGAGCATGTGAGGGGGTGGCGCCCGGCTGGGTGTGGGGGAGACAGCCTGCCTCAGGCCTGGTGGCAGCTCCCGGCCTGACCCAGGGTCCCGTGCCAGGTGGATGGCTTTGACAGCGTGGATGACGAATCCAAGCCCGAGAACCACGTCTTCAACCTGGAGAGCCCCCTCCCCGAGGCTTGGGTGGAGGAAGACAACCCGCCCTATGCCTACTACCTGTACTACACCTTCGCCAACATGGCCACACTGAACCACCTGCGCAGGTCAGGCTCCGCCGGGGCCACCACTCTGCTGGCCTGTCATCTCTCACCTTCTCATCCCCCACCCAACGGGCCTGCCCTGGGCTGTGCCCGCAGAACACTCACCCACCTCTTGCCCCACGCATGGACCTGAGGGTCATTTCTCTGCCCTCGGGGCTCCATGGCTCTCACCTCACCGCCAAGAACCTAGCCCTGCCCCTTGTCGCAGGCCCGCAGTCCCAGGGTGGGGGCTCGGAGCCCGGCGAGCCGGGAGCTGACTGTCTTCGTGCCCCCCAGGCAGAGGGGCTTCCACACGTTTGTGCTGCGGCCGCACTGCGGGGAGGCTGGGCCCATCCACCACCTGGTGTCGGCCTTCATGCTGGCCGAGAACATCTCGCACGGGCTGCTTCTGCGCAAGGTCAGGGCTGCACCCCCAGCCTCCTTCCCCGTTGGCCCCCTTCCTCCCGACCCCTTGGGCCCCTGCAGCAGCTGATCCTCCTCAGCAGCCCTGTCTGGACTGCTCCACACCCAGTCTCCACGCTGGGGCCCCAGCTTGGATTCTGGCTGTAACTGACCCTCCACAGACCAGGGGACTCCCCCCAGCGCTACTGTGGCCTGTATCCCCCAGAGCCAGGTGTGCTCCCCAGCCCTGAGGCCACCTGACCGGCCCTCCCTCCCTGTCGCCCGCCAGGCCCCTGTCCTGCAGTACCTGTATTACCTGGCCCAGATCGGCATCGCCATGTCCCCACTCAGCAACAACAGCCTCTTTCTCAGCTACCACCGGAACCCACTGCCCGAGTACCTGTCCCGAGGCCTCATGGTCTCACTGTCCACTGATGACCCCCTGCAATTCCACTTCACCAAGGTAAGAACCTGAAGGCGAGGACACCCCAGCTCTGAGGTTTCAGGGCTGGTGCTGCCCCCTGCTGGCGGAGGCCCTGGGGAGGGATGGCCGGCAGGGCCTGGCGCACGTGTCTGAGGGAGCCTGGCCTGTGCAGGAGCCGCTGATGGAGGAGTACAGCATCGCCACCCAGGTGTGGAAGCTCAGCTCCTGCGACATGTGCGAGCTGGCCCGCAACAGTGTGCTCATGAGCGGCTTCTCCCACAAGGTACGATCCCCTTGCCCTCCCCACTGGGAAGGTCCCAGGGTCCTGGGGCATGGCCCCTTGGAGCCGGCTGCAGCCTGCCCTCTATCCTCCCCCCTACAGGTGAAGAGCCACTGGCTGGGACCCAACTACACAAAAGAGGGCCCCGAGGGCAATGACATTCGCCGCACCAACGTGCCAGACATCCGTGTGGGCTATCGCCACGAGACCCTGTGCCAGGAGCTGGCACTCATCACGCAAGCCGTCCAGAGTGAGATGCTGGAGACCATCCCAGAGGAGTCAGGTCTCACCATGAGCCCGGGGCCTCAGTGAGCCTGGCCCACATGGCGCCCCACATCTCAGCACCGTAGCCACGTTTCGTCCTTGGATCCCTCCCACCCTGTGCGGTCTCTGCATGTGTCCATTCTTTGTCCTGTCCTGCATGTCTCAGACCTCTCTCTGTCTCTGTGCCTCCCCGGAGTGTGCTCTGCCCTTGCTTGGTTCAGGTGGCACCCGATGATCCCAAGTTTGAGGGCTGCCCTGTCCCAAGATCCTCTGAAGTCTGGCTAGGGATGGTTGTGGGGGGCTGGCCCCTCCAGCCTTTGGAGTCCTGCCTAGGCAAGTCTGAGCTTTGGCCAGGGTTGAGTTGAGCCCCTCGTCTTGTTTACGTAGCTGAAGTTTAAGGTGGGTCCTGTACACTTCTGCTGTGGGCCCGGGGCTGTTGGGGGCTGGGGGCTCCTGCAGCGCTGCGGTGGGTGGAGCTGGGCTGAGAACAGGCGCAGCCGTGACACCCTGGACTCAGGCCCCGGAGGTGCTGGCTGCTGCCTCTGCCTCTCAGTGCCTGGCAGCCTTCTCCGCCCTCCCTCCGGTCCCTGTGCTCCGGTGTCTGCTTCCTGTGCCTCTGGGAGGGGCAGTGCTGTGCCATGTCTGGGGCCGCTGCCGCTGGAGGGCCCTGGATCTGCCACCAGCCCTCGGTGTGGTGTCCCCAATGTGGTCCCTAGAGTTTCGACCAGACCCGGATCCTGGCTGGTCCTGTGTTGTTGTTTTTTGGACTGAGGCCTTTGCTGTGATATGCAGTGTTTCATACAGTCCCGTCTTTCCTAGTGCATGAGAAATAAAGATTATTTAAGTAATGAGGCAGGTGGGTCTTTGTTGGGAGAGGGCCTGCGGGGTGGGGGTGGCTGAGGTTGGGACCAGGAACTCTTCGGATGGAGGGGAGCGACTGGCTTGGCTGATGTATGTGCACTTGGAAGCTGTGGGAGGGTGAAGAGCTCTACCGGGGACCCATCTGCTGTCCCCAGGCCCTCGTTGAGCCTGCCCCCTCTGAAGGGGACACTTTCCATCTACTTCCAGCCTCTTGGAGCTCCTGGGAGATGTGGGAATGTGCACTTACAAGCAGGCCTAGGCCCATGGTCCTCAAACTCTGCGTTGGCATCTGGGGAGCGCTTGTTTAAAATTCCCTTTCCAGGCCTCACCCTCTGATTCTGATTCAGTGAGTGGAAGGTGTAGCCTGGAACTCTAAGCAGCTCGGCTTCTGTCCTGTGTTTAATACACAATTTCTAGAGCACCTCCCAGGTGGAGAGTAGAGTGTGCCCTGTGCATGCAGGGTCCTGGGTTAGCACCGAGAAGCCTGTCGCTGCTGGTGCTGAGTGGGGTGAGGGACAGGCTGACTGTTTTGGAAGCAATTAGCCCTATTACTGTGTGAGCCTGAGTAATTGAGGGCCTGGTGACGAGCTGGCTTTCTCCTCCCCTTCTGTCAGCTTGCTTGGCCCAGTCTACTGCGTCTGTGCCAGCTATGTCCTGGCATGACACTCCCCCAGTGTACCTGGGGAAAGGCACTCCTGATGCCCCTGCCTCCTGAAGGCCCCTGGAGGGCCAGGCTCCCTCCTGGCCAAAACCCAGGGTCCTTCAGTGTCCAGAAGGCTTCTCATCGATTTCTTGTAGCCATTGACATGTCAGAACTGAGTGTTAGAGCTGGATGCAGAGCTAGGGACTGTACAACTCTGGCTGATTTCTGTTGGGGAAACAGGAGGTGCAAGTGGCCTGTGGCAGAACCTGGACTGGAAGCCAGGGGAGCTCAGCGTCCAGGGCTCCTCCACCCGACGCTGGGCCCCCTCTGCCTGAACGATGCTGCTTTTCCAGGTGAAGGGAACTTATTTTCAAGGAGGTCTATATACTTAATAGTAAAACATGCTGTGTCTTCTCTTCATTTGTAAAATGAGGGAGCAGGATTAGAGGATCTTTCTAAAAGGTTCCTTGAAGGGAAGAATTGCCTGTCTCATGTGCCACACTTAAGACAGCAAGGATTCCATATTTACTTACTGAATTTGTCATATGATGGAATCCTTTATGCCAGTGTCTCGTCCTTTGTGCAGTCTAATTGGTGTTGAAACCCAGTCCTAAGAACACTACCAATTTCAAGAGTTTCTTAGCGAACTTCCCACTTTTCTTTTTTTTTAAACAACTTGCTTCTGGATTTTTTGGTTCTCTGAAATATCTCTTTCAAACATTTTTTGAGAGAAAATAAATTTTAAAACAGTAAAGTCAATATGTTTTCCTATCTGAAAAGAAAATTTTCATTCCAGAAATTTGGAAAGTATACAAAAATTGGAACAGCAACAATAACAGCAAGCCCACTCAGCTACCAATAGCAACAAATATTTACTGATCATCTACATACCTGAGATATAAGTTTTTAAATATTTATATATTTCAGTTTTTTAAAAGGCATTTTTGAGTTGAGATAAATGTATAATTTTGTGGTTTTAAAATATTTTAACATCTTTCCATATTTCATTACAATACTATTTATAAATTTTAATTACTGTTTGCTGTCCTAGGCGAGCCTCGCCATAACTTACCATCATAGCTCTTTTCGGTTGAGAACAACAATGGCCTAGTGAGGGACTGTGCACTCCGGAGCCACACTGCCTTCTGGCTGTGTGACCTTGGGCAAATTCCTTCCCCTCTCTGTGCCTCCAGGGGATAGGGAGGATCCAAGTGCTCTGGCTTCTATCCAGGGGCCATGGCTGACGTCAAAGGCCTAGAAAATGGTGAGGACCTGAAAGAAAAACTTTGGGGGCTGCAAAATATGACATGGACAATGTCACAATTGATAAGTGTTTAACTAAATACAGTTTAACGAAAGCTGTTTGTCAGCTTTAATCCTTGTTAATTTGGTGTCCACAGAAATGTCATTCTGTTTGAAAACAATTTGTAAATTGGGTTTTTGGCAATAGTTCCAGACTATGCAGGATGATTGAAGAGAAATCATAAGACCAAGAAAAAAAAAGGGGGGAAATCTTAGCCAATAGTAAATTAAGTGAGTTACTCATCGTGAAGTAATTTCCAAAGCAAATTCATAAAAGCCCTTTTACGTTGAAAGCCAAGAAGAGTTACATTTAATGAGGGAATGTGGGTGCATCTTAACTTTTGTTCCAAGGAGGGTGGGGCCTCGGAGAATCTGAGGCCGGGCCTGCGAAGGGCTGACCTCGGCCCTGGCCTCAGTCCTCCTGGCCCAGTACCCTTTACCCGCCTGCCTCTCTTGGAGGCCAGGGCTGGGTCCGATGGCGTGGGAGGCTGGTTCTGTGATGCTTAGTCCAGTATTTTGCTCCCTGTGGCACCCAGTAAATAGCACTGGCAGGGAGTTTGGGGCCCAGAATTTCGCCATCCGGGATAATGATGACAATGGCCAACCTTTATTGAGTGTTTACCATATGTCAGGCACTGTTTTAGAAACTTTACATGTCTGATCTTCTTTAACCCTCAAATCACTCCTATAAAGTGCATTCTGTTATTATTGCCATTTACAGAGAAGGAAATGGAGGCACAGAGAGGTTAAGTAACCTTCCCAGGGTCACACAGCTAGTAAGTGGTGGGCCCAGGATGTCAACTTAGAGGTCTGGTCAGAGGCAATGCTCTATCTGTTGTGCCCCACTCTCTCTTCCTTTGTGTTCTGTGCACAAGGTGGCCAAGGGCCCATCACGGCCAGGCAGGGTGGGGCTGGTCCCTCAGGTTGTAAGGGGGGGCTAGGCGTGTCCTGGGCCTCACCAGCCCTCCCAGTGGATTTCCACATGTAGGACATCCTGATTGCGGGCGCAGCCCTCAAACATGGTCAACAGCCCCTGCTCTCTAGGATAGACCCCTGGGGCTGCTGTGTCTCTCTGACCCCGTCAGAGTTTGAGTCAGTTCTTTACCCCTGCTTCCTGGCCCACCTCTGCCAAGCCTAAACCTCCTCCGTGGCTCTCTGCCAGTGCCCCACCGACACCTCTTCTTCCTGGGGTTGTTCCTTGATTCCTTACTGCCTCTTGGCTCCTGGGTAGAATTATTTTCCGCCTAGAGACTGTTTGCTACTCACGTGGCCATGACAGATTCGACCCTAAGTGCAACCCCTTCCCAAGACTTAAGGAAAGCCGAATGCCTTCTACCCCCGCCTGCCCCGAGTCAAAGACAAACCACTATCGTCACCTACCCCCAAACTGGAAAGGATGGCTTTTTCTTTTTTAACATTAAAAAAAAAATTTTTTTTTAAATTTAATGCGCACCCAAGGATATGTTTATTGATTTTAGAGGGAAGAGTGAGACATTGTCAGAGAGAAGTACCCATCTGTACACACCGCAATTGGGGATCAAACCCATAACCTAGGCATGTGCCCCGACCAGAACTAAACCCGCAGCCTTTCCGCCTACTGGATGGCACTCCAACCAGCCACACGGCCAGGCAAGGATGATTTTTCAGTAGTTGGCGCTGGGTCAACTAGAGACGCATAGGGAGGAAATGCAGCCTCCAGCTTCACACCACACACAAGGCTCAACTCCACACGTCCTGGGTGAAAATATAGGACATCTTGATGACCGAGGTGGCACCCAATGGTTGGACCCTCTCATGCGGACAGAAGCGTGTCCCTTGCAGGATCGGGAGTAGGTGGGAGCTGCCCGGGTTCTGTGGGAGGCCTGGGGGGTGGGTGTGTGGGTGGGGTTCAGCCTCCCCTGGGCAAAGCAGGCCTTCCCCAGGCGGGAGGGACCTGGCTGGGCCTTTCTCCGCCTGAGAGCTGCAAGTTTGGCCAGCAGGGGGCGCTGCTGGAGCGCCCGTCCCCAGGAATGGGATGGAGGGCCTACAACAATACCAATTACTTAAACTTGCAGCCCTCCTGGTGGGCAGGCAGTCTAGTAAATGCGGGATAGTCGGGGTTCACCAGCCTCTTCACAGTGCTCCCATGGCCAGAGGACCCCTCGGGGCTCCCCTCCCATTCTTCCTTTGCCTGCACCCCCTCTAGGGTAGAGAGGGCAGTGAGGGTGCCTGGCCAATGCAGAGAGGCTGGACCCTGCAGCTGGTGGGCTGGGCTTGGCCTCCTTGCTGAAGGTTTGGGACCCAGGATCTGAAGTGTGTCCTGACCCCTCCGAGCCACAGCAGTTCCCTTCCGCCAGGTCTGCATCTGCTTCCTGTTCGATTGGGCAGTTCTCAGCCAGGCTGGAGTGGGCCTGGAACCCCAGATCCCCACTGAGATCCCTCCCTCACTGCCAGTCCCATGGGGACCCCCCTCTTGCTCCACCTCTGACAGAGTCCCCACCCCCCAAGCAGACACCACCGCGGCCACCATGGCTGCCTGGGATTCCTGCTGCTCCCACCCCAGGTGAGACCTCTTGAACTCATGAGGTACAGCTCCTGTCTGCTGGGTCCAAGCCTATAACCTGTGCCGAGCTCCTGCCAGATCCAACTCACTGCCTCCCCCACCCGCCCCACACTTCCTCTGCACAACTTCCTTTCTATTTCTCTGTATTTAGAGGTTCACTAATCTCATGCTGTCCAAAAACCCAAGTGTTTATTACAAAGGGCCTTGGTAGCCCAGGGACGTGTTTTGAGCCCCAGCGTGCTGTTACAAAGCTCTCCAGCACATTCTCTCTGGTGTATGGGCCCTTTCTGGCATCTCTGTTGCCTTGTTTCCACCACTGGGAGTGTGTCTAAGGTCTGCCTTGTGAAGTTGTGCCTCTTGCCGATAATGAGCACAAAGACCACAAAGTGCTCTAAGAAACGTCCACTGTGTTTGGCACCGAGGGCCTCTTGCTCGCTGCCAGGTTTGTCTAGTATCAGCTCCCGCAGTGTTTGGGAACAGTCTTGGATTGTTGTTGGCTTTTCCTGTCCTGTGGCTTCACTCTGTGGGAAGTATGGTGTCCTGGGTGGAGCCTTGGGGTTGACTGGATGGAGTCAAATATACCTTTGTGACTTAGCTGTGTGTCCTTGGGCAAGTTACTTAGTTTCTCTGAGCTTCAGCTTCCTGATCCATAAAATGGGGGAAGAAATAAGTAATTCAGAGAGATGTTTTGAGAATTCAGTGAGAAAGTCTATGCAGTACGCACATAATAGGCACTCAATAAATATTGGCTGGGATTATTAGTAAAAGCAAACAGACCCCCTTTTTTAAAGAGGAACAGCTCTTTCCTGAACGCATTTGTCCTGCTTAAACTGACTGCTAAGAAGTAATTGTTTCTCAAGACACCCAGGAGCAGAGGCCAGGGAGAGGGGATATTGTTGGGTGCAGGGGAGATTGGCTGCAACTTGGTGCTAGGGACCTGCACCCTCAGACAAAGAGGGAGACACCGATTTCCAGCTTCTGCTGGTTTGGGGTGCTGAGCCCTCTGTGTGGGCAGGGAGACGCAGAGGCAGTATTGTTCTCAGAGGAATTAGCTAGAAAGAAGGCCTGCAGCCAAATGTGGAATCAAGTCAGAGAATAGCAGAGCTTCGAAGAACTCAGAGGCCCCACAGCCAGGCGCACGCTTGTTGAACATTTACCGTGTGCAAGGTGCTCTTCTAAGCTCTTTTCATGTGTTAGCAGATTTAATCCCCCAAACAGCCCCCACTGAGTGAAAGCTTTGTGAAGCCTGAGCTTTGTCTATTTTGTCCAGGGCTGAGTCACGAGACACGTATTAGATGCCTGATAAGTTTGGTGGATGAAGAAGCCCCGTGAGGCGTGGATGTACCATTGTGATTGGAGGAGGGAATGCAAGTACAGAGAGGTGAAGTAACTGGCCCCAGGTCCCCCAGCTGCTGAAGGGCAGAGTGCAGGACTCAAACCCAGGCCACAGTGAGAAGCTGCCTTCGAGCCTCGATTCCAGCCGGGGCAAGGTTCGAGCCTCGATGCCCGACCAGGTTCTTTTCCTTCTCTGATCTGCTTGCTTGCAGCTTTTCCTACCGTGGCCATCTGTAGCTATTTGTATAACTCAGAGGGACTGCATTAGGGGCGCTTGGCTCTGCCCACTATTGATTTTCCAACTTCACAGAGTACAGCATTCATGTATTTCAGTAAAGGGTCTGATTTGCAAGTTTTCAAACTCTTGTTTTTTCACAGTGACGCAGGTGCCAAAGAGAATCAGATTTCCAGGGTTAAAGTCCTGTGGATTTACATGCTACTGGAAGTCCTTCAGCGCGTAGTTAGTGAGCATGTGAGAAACGGCTGAGGGTGTCTGAACAGGCCCTTCCTTCCAGCAGCCCGGGAGGAGTCACCCCTAGAGAGAGAACTGGGAAGGGAAGGGAAGGAAGAAGGCGAGCTGAGAAAGGAGTGGCCTCCGGTGTGGCGGGGCCTCTGCCTCTCCCTCCGCCTGCCCTCCCCACACCACCCTCCACTTCTCACTACTTCGCCACTGGCCTTCCCACCACAGGCTACTTTTCTGCTTTACCCAGCAGGGACCAGACGAGGCCTCCTGATTGCAGGCAGGCAGGGAAGCTACAAAAACACAGTTACTAAACATCATTTTAATTTGTCATTTCTTAAATCCCACTAGAGTCACAAAATATGCAAATACCTTTGGATGATAATGCGTGTCTATTGGTTTGGGCCTTCTGAAAATGTTTCCATACTGTGAGATAAATGCTCATGAGAAACAGCTGGGCGGTTTCTAACCTTTCCTCTGAGTTTTTGTGTGTAAAGAAAACAAAGACAAGACTGGTTACTCTAATTAAAGATAATAATTTGTGTCAGTTAATTGTGCAGCATACAGTAATTGCAGAGAGATACAGGTATGTATGCAGAAAAAGATGTGATTTTCTGTTTATTTAGAAAAAAATTTATGGTTTATTCAAATGGTCCATTAATATGATACATATTCTGTTATTTAATGTACTGATAAGTTAATTACATTATAATGCTATGATTGAAAGCTTTAAAATATTATCTGTTTTATGTTTATATACTTATATATGTCCAAAACATACAAATAAACTATTAATAGATCCTTTACTACAATCTGCTACAAAGGAGTATACTTAGAATTTGGGTCTTTTGTTACCGGGAAACCCGGGTGGGCCTCGGGATGCCTGCCGCTGTATCCAGTTCCAGGAGGCAGGGGTGAATCATCTAAGGCGTTTATTGAGAAGGCCACCAACCAAGAAGACGGGGAGCCTACGAGCCTCCCAAACCTGTACCGTAATCCACTGTTCACAGCTGCGCCACCTCCTTAATTGCTTCAGTCCGGGATCGAGGGGAGTTCAGGGTGCAAAGGCCTAGGAGAAAGACGCTAAGGGAAAAAAACTTAAATCCCTGCTTACAGAAGTATTTGTGTTCTACAATTTTATAAGTAATATAATTACAGTTCAGATTCACTCAGGTGCTCAGTCTTTGGAAATTATAAGTGCCCCTGTCACTTTCATGTAAAATATTTTATGCCCAGGTTATTAGAATTCCTTTTCTTTATCAAATGATTCTCATAACTTTCAGTGCTTTTCCTACACCCTTTAAATCATTTTGTTAGAAATTCCCTTGGATAGCCCCAACCTAAACTCATTTGTTCGCAGACCTAAATGCACGCTCGACATGTATACCAGCCACTCCAGAAGGTCCGTCAGCTCCAAAGACTAAAGTATTAGCCTTCACCCAGGCCTGCCAGCTGGTAAAAGGGGAAAAAACCACAAAAAACAAGCACATAGACTTGTAGTGCATGTGCTTGTGGGGTAGTCCTCGAATTTGGAGTGAAGAGTTTTCGAGATTGGACAAAACATAAAGCTCGAGCTGACCGCTCTGCTACTCAGCAGCATGAACAAAGACAGAGCCCGTTGCTCCCCTAATCACATGCAAAGCAGAGGCCCTGGAGGAGTTCAAAGAGGCTGTTTTTAACTGTCAGAGAGAAACCCCTGATTTGGAAAAGTGGAAACATTCAGAAGCAGGAAAGGCCGCAGAAAGGTAGTTGACTCACCATCAAATCATTTCAAGTGGAGGTCAGCGAAAACGTTTCATGATAGCACTGTAAGAGCAGCGACTCACGGGCAACAGCCTTCAACACGGGCGGGGCAGGTAGACGTATTGCCAAAGAGGTTTCAAAAACAAGTCCTCCTGCCAATGATCCTGGTCACATGTAAAGGTGAGATTGTTCAAGGACCAGAGTCTCCAGGGCGCTTCATTCTCCGAAGGGGACTTCGTACCAAAGCCTCTTGCAGTGGATTATAAATAAGTTCTGGTCATTTTCTGTTTTTTTTTTTCCTCCGAGTAGATGAACACTTTACCTTGCCAGAGGGCTATGGCTCTAACTGTGGCAAAAAAAAACTTGCCTGATTCTGTTTTCCAACCTGGGGAATTTCCATTTATCTCTCTAATAACGACACTCGTTTTAATGGTGCTGCTATTAAGGAGCTCTGTAAACTTTGCCTTTTGCCCCTAAACCTTCCTATTTGTATCATGCACAGTCCTTGGGAAAAAAAGAGAGAGAGCTAATGAGATGCTAAATGCTGAAATGAGCAAGCTCTGGATATTTACTGGTCCTTTATCAGTCCTTTGCACAATTTTCTCCCATGCTCTGGGTAATCAGAGTTGATTTACACAAAACAAACATCCTGACACCCTGTATTCTTTCCAGATGAAAGAATTTGGCTGTGACTTTCCTCAAAGGCGGGCAAAGAGTGAAGTACAATGTGTATGCAATTCTGTGTCTCTAAAATAAAAAATCGAATCAGTGGCTCGGGGAAAGCCCCCATTACAGGGGACACTGTCCACATGATCTACAAGGGAAAATCCAAAGTCCGGTTTCAGGGGCTATTTCTTACAACATCCTTCCAAGGAAGTGTTTCAGAACCCACCAAAATGAGGCCCGCCTTCCGTTCCTGAGCCAGGCTGCACCTGGATCCAACGTGAGGGATGTTGAAGGGCTCCCCGCCCCCTTTACGTCTCCACTGCCTGTGAAAACCCTGCCCTCTCCCAAAGGCTTCTGGGCACTCTGAGGGATGCCCTCCCTGGAGGCCTCCGACAGCGCTCAGCTGAGCTCCCCGCAGTCCCCAGAAGGCCCAAGCAGTGTACTCAGGCTCAGGGTGGTGGATTCTCTTCCCCCTTGTCAGCAACAGCAAGAAAGTACATGACCATTTGATTCAGGTAAGCATTTAGGATCTTCTTTATCTCAGGCACCAAGATCCCCACACTTCCTTGAGACACTGGGTGCTGCTCAGATCATTAAGGGCATGTGGAAATGTGCACATGGACTTCAGGACCCCATGTACCGAAGTCGGTCTCAATTCTGAAGCCCAAGAAAAGCGGCACAAACATGCTCTCAGCTGGAGGGAGGCTCGGTGTGGGGGCAGAGGGCCAGCCCCCCCCATCTGAGTGCGCCTTCCAAGGTGACTCACACCTCCCTCCCTTAGGCTTTCCTGACCTCTCCCTCCTGCGTCCGAGGCACGTGCAGAATTCCCTCCCAGCCCCGCCAGGCCAGTGGCTCTGCTTTGTTGTTGACCTCACGCTCTGGACCAGCGCCATCCAATGGAAATACGATGCTCTCCACCTGTCTAATTTTAAGTGTTCCAGTAGCCACATTAACAAGAAGAAAGTAAGTTTCAGGATATATTTTATTTAACCCAATATACCCACATAACACTTTCATTTCAACATGTAAATCAATTCAAAAATTATTAATGAGATATTGTACAAGATCTGGCCCCACTCTGTCTTTGAAATCTGAAGTATATTTTATACTGAGAGCACATCTCAATTAGGACCCTACCTTTTAATTGGAAATACTTGACCTGTATCTAGATTTCAGAACATTTATGGTTGAAAGCATTGATTCACATACCCAACGGAACATACCTAAACATTTTTCAATGACTGAATTGAGTATCAGTTTTTAAAATTAAATTGATTAAAATTAAATGAGGAATTGAGTTCCTCAGTTGCACTAGCCACATTTCAGGTGCTCAGTGGCCGCATGTGGCTGGCAGCTACTACATCACACAGCACAATTCTAAACCATAGGCTTCCTGTTTCTGTGCACTCATTCTCTGAGTGAAACAGAGCCCAGCACATAGAGGTAATGAAATGTTTGTTGAATGAATGACTAGCAGAGTTGGGAATTTTAAAAAAGGGAACAGTAAGGGTACACTAAGTGCTTTAAGTGAAATGACATATAAGGAAACCAGTTTTACCCTAGGCCAATAGATAGAAATGAGAGTTAAGTTCCTAAGGTATATTTCTGGTCACAAACATTATCAAACTTCTAAACGGAGACCTAAACCACTTTTAATATTAAACATTGAAATAGATGTGAGCTCTATATACACTTAAGAAAAACTAATAACAAGAAGTAAGGAAATGATTTTCAAACCTGCTTATTTCCGGTTCATACTAAATCTGTCCCATATTTCAAAACACCTCTCCCTGTGGTTTCTACCCAACTTCCATTTTAAAATTTATTTTTGATTTTTTATCGTTGACACTATTACAGATGTAGCCCCCGTCCTCTCCTCCACCCAGTCCCGCCGTCCCGCCCCGGGCCTTCAGCACTCTGTCGGCTGTGCCCAGGGGCTGTGTGTATATGTGTTTCTGGCTACTCTCTTTACCTACTTTTTCCATCCCCTCCCCTCCCCTCTGACCTCTGCCAGTCTGTTCCAGGTTCCAAGAGCTAGAATTGCCTTATTTCACCATGCCTACCATATTTTAAATATTCTGTTTAATGTTAGCGTTTAAAAAATACATTTTCTCAGTGGATTCCGGTCATGTTTCTGCTCCAAGCTCAAGATGTGTAAAACTCAATGACAAATCCTAATGTATTATGAAAAATATTAGAGGGCTCTTAAGGGGGCCAGCCCTTGTGGGTGAGTGTGTGTGTGTGAGGGTGAGTGGGTGAGTGTGTGTGTGTGAGGGTGAGTGTGGGTGAGTGTGTGTGAGTGTGTGAGGGTGAGTGTGTGTGTGTGAGGGTGAGTGTGTGTGAGGGTGAGTGTGTGTGTGTGAGGGTGAGTGTGTGTGAGGGTGAGTGTGTGAGTGTGTGAGGGTGAGTGTGTGTGAGGGTGAGTGTGGGTGAGTGTGTGTGAGGGTGAGTGTGGGTGAGTGTGTGTGAGGGTGAGTGTGGGTGAGTGTGTGTGAGGGTGAGTGTGGGTGAGTGTGTGTGAGGGTGAGTGTGGGTGAGTGTGTGNTGTGTGTGTGAGGGTGAGTGTATGAGGGTGTGTGTGAGGGTGAGTGTATGAGGGTGTGTGAGTGTGTGAGGGTGAGTGTGTGTGTGAGGGTGAGTGGGTGAGTGTGTGTGTGTGAGGGTGAGTGTGGGTGAGTGTGTGTGAGTGTGTGTGTGTGAGTGTGTGAGGGTGTGTGTGTGAGGGTGAGTGTGGGTGAGTGTGTGAGGGTGAGAGTGTGTGAG